GAAATTTATCCTCAGATCCAAATTCATCTTTTTCCTTATGACTCCTGAATTATACCAATATCACTAAAAATCCATCTCTTCCTCACTGCTTTGAGATACAGCTTCTATGTTAAATTTCCATAAGCACTGGGTCACTTTCTAAATTTTCTGTTAAATTCTGTATGTCTTTCATGTACCAATGCCAACTGTTCAATTATAAAGGCTTTATAACATATTTTAATACCTGATATGATACCCCATACACTCCCAATCCTCTAATTTTTCAGGGTTTTCTGGGCTTTCCTTTTTTTATTCCAAATAAATTTTGGAATAATCAACTTGTGCTATAACCGTGTTCCTAATCAAGAGTGTTTATCAGAAGCATCATCAGTATCTAAAAAAAAAAGAAAAATATTTGGTCCTCACCCCAGACCTAATGAATCTCTGGGTATTGTGCCTGGGTATGTACATTTTAATAAAGCTCTCCAGTTGATTCTGATAATCTCATTTTTAAAAAAAAGACCTATAATGCATGAATTTAAATTCTAATTTCAGACTATCTTATGATTTGTTTTCCCTTATGTATTCTGGATTGTCCTCAACGACTCCTGCATTTGCCTAGTTTTATAAGCCAGAAGCCTCTCTAGTTTTCCTTCAGTCCTTCTCTTCCATAACTTCTTGTTTTCAGTTGGTCACCAAATCCACATTTTACCTCAGAAATATTTGGCTTTAAACCTCCAATACCATTGTCTTTTACCATATTTCTTATGGACTGTTAAGTACTCTCTTCACACTACAGTCTGTTATCTGCACAGCCTACAGTTATTGTTCCCTAAAGGTCAATCAACGTTACTTCTTTGCTGACTTTTGTTGGCTCTCAGGGTAAATTCGACCTCACCGTGGATTAGTCTTTTCACTCTCAGGTCCCAGCCTTCTTTTCCTCCTCCATCCCTTTTCTGCACCTCATATTGAATATTCCTGTTTCACTGAGTTTTTCACCAATGAACAGAAACCAGACCTATGTTCTTTGTATTTAAACTTATGGTTTCTTTCACGTAGAATCTGCACCCTCTTCCCCTTTATCTTAAGCTCTCAGTATTTGAAATGCAGTTCAAATGGTATCTCTTTGATAATGCTTTTTTTTAGACTCCAAGTGAGAATTAGTTGCCTATCCTCTTTTTTCTTGAAAAACTTTATTTGTATCTTTATAAAAATGTGATTTATGTGAGTGTCTAATCTCCCAGGAATTTCACACTTTCAGTATCAACCAGAATGTGAGCTTTTCATGTTTTCCAGCCTCTAGCAGAGTGCATAACATATAGCAAGCACCCAAATGTTTGTTCAATGAATGAAAACAAATAAAGCTTCATTAGTCTGTATCTATTGAAACAGAAACAAGACATGACAGGGGCCAGCCTGTTCTACTATTGAGATCTCTCATTTGTTCAGCTTTCTGTAGTCAGTCTTCCTAGGCTCTATTCTCTGTACTGGCAATTCTTTGCTGTCTGAAGATCCATGTACAATACATATAGTAGTAAATTAGGTATCTATCCATCTTTATCTCTATATCTGTCTATTTAAAAAGTTCTGTCTTGGTCCTAAATATAGATGGCTGCTTCTTTTTAGAAGAGTGCCATTGAGTCTACAGTCAATTTAAGTCTAGTTTAGTCTATAGTGGTGGCTTAATTCAGTCTATGGGGTAGGTATATGTCATTATAGAATTTCAGAAATAATTATCAGTAATAATGGAAAAGATCTGTTCAGTCATTAAGTTCTTTTACAATTCTTTACATGGTGAGGTACTAACTTAGATGATGATCTTAGAAGACTAAGTGTTAAGGGAGCCAAATTATTTTATAACTATAGTAATTATTTTCTCTATTTGCTCTCAAGTATATTACTATGTTGTAATCTCTAAACAATAAAAAATGGTAACAAAAAAGGAAGGAATCATATTAAAGAATTTAAGCACAGCTTCTTAGAAGGTATCAAATATGGCATAATCCAGTTTTAAATTTGTACTGTACCATTATATTTAAAAATCATTTTTAAAAGTATAAATTGTACAATATAATTCAATTACCAATAACACTAAATCACTTTGAAGATATATTGTAATACAAAATTAAAACTTTTACTTTTTATTGAAATATATAAATCCATCTTACGAATTTTAGATATCAATCTGATTTGTCATTTGCCAAAGATTTTGTTAATTACTGCATTCATTTTTGAGAATGTTGTAAAAGTATTTTTCAAACTATATAAAGAGCTTTGGTGATTTTTAAATATTTGAAAGACACAAAAACCAAGTTCGTTATTAACATTTTTATCCTTTATTCTGACTTTTAGATGATAAGTTTTATTTAGTTATGAACTATTTCATCATTTAGCCGAGGAAACAACAACTCTGTGCTATATGTGGAATCAACTAGAAATTATACACACTCTTAAGAAAATTTTTTGGAACTATGGTTCTAAAATCACCCAGGGGAATGATAGGAATTTTTAATATGAGTTTTAATCACTTTATTTCAATATAAGCTAATCACTTTTATTGCATATGTACCTTTTTTTCTGTTGATTAGGCATATATGCAAAATCTAAATTAATAAATGAATTTATTATAAAAAATATTTTCCACACAGGTTTCTTCTCTAAAAACCAGGCATATCCTTATAAAAACGTATTTGGAAAACCAATGTGCCATCTTCAAACCCATTATTATTTCAAAATATTATTGGAGCCAAAAAGTGAACCATGCTTTGCAGTATATTGTTTAAAAAATTTGAGCAAAAGAAATATTGTTACTTATCCAAGTTAATCAGGAGTGCCATTTAAACTTTATTTCAAGAGAAATGTTTTAAATAATTCCTAAGAAAACAAGACAACTTGAATCTAGCCCCCTTTTTCCCTCCTTTCAAAATTGAGTGTTTTCAACTGTAATGCTAGTGATAAGGCAATGTCAGAAATGGATTGATGAAATATTAATATTTAATTGACATACAGAAATATCAGTGAATTGCCTTCTTTACTTACATGTTTTAAAATACTGTTTGAGTCATGACTAATATTATGTAAAAATGCATGAACTTTTTGCATGTTGCTTTAGATGGAATGTCAGCATTCACACATATTTTAATCTATGGTTTTTTTCCAGAACATTATTAGTAAATTTTGAGGTTGTGGAACTGTTGATCCAGTCATACAGGTACAGAGCTTGGCCTCTGAGTTAATTAAATATAAGTTAATAATATATTGTAAGGAAATTACTGTTCTTATTATAGTTATTAGGTAGTTACTCAAATTATAGCTACAAAGGAATGCAGAGCATGGAAAACTCAAGATGAAATTATGCATTTGAACCTTAGGCCAGCTTTTACTGTAGAGACAGTTTTCTGCTAAGAGAGAAATTGTATGTCATTGAAATTAAATGCTTTTCTGGGGATGGAAGGTTCCAGTTTTTAATGAAATTACTGAGTGTGGTATAGTGAAATGATTAAAATCTGTATTCCGGGAATGTGGCAGGGGGAAAAATCAATAAGTGCTAGCACAGCTTTGCTGCTCATTGTGAATCCTGAGAATGAAATAAACTACTACAAAAATAATAATTAAAAACATATCAGCACATTAATTTATTTAGCATCAGTCTCCTGAGACATCATCTTCACTAATTTTTAGCATACATTTTACTATATAATGAGCAGCCTTCTTTTCAGATATCCCTATTAGACAGGCAGTATTTCTGCCCTTCCCCCAGTGCTCCTGCATTGCAATCATTGTACTTGCACTTATTATGTTACAAATGACCGAGGTAAGGCTGACATTCTCAGTGCATGCAAAAAGACCTAGTCTGCCAAGCTTTTTTTTTCGTAATGAAGCAGCTTTGTGAAATCTCCCCATGTGTTAATACTAATGAAGATCCTCCAGCACAATTAAAATCACAGCCAGTGGCTGAAGGGGAAATATAAAACAATAACATCTTTTAAGATACATTTAGCCACATATGTACATACAAAATATACATATATGGTCAAATTATTATTCTATAGCTTGCATTTAACTTGCTCTTCATCTTGAAAATTAAATGATGCAATTTTAATTTAAGAACTCTTAATGTGTCCTGGGGAAAAAAACACTATACCTCAATGAAAAAAAAAATGTCTTCTTGGGTAATAAAGTGTTACTAAGATTAAAGCTTTTAAAAAAATCACTTTAAGGAAGCTATAGGATGGGATGTGGGAGGAGGGAATAAATACTTCTCCACTTTTAGTTTAACTTTATTGGCTTCACTCAGGATGCTGGAATTGGGAAAAAATGGAAAGGTAAAAAAGAAGAGATTCTGGGGGTAGACAAATAGCATACCTCGTGTGTAGTTCAAAGATGGGGCAATGGGCTAGCAGTCTTAATTTTTTAAGAAGTGTTCAATTCTTACAATTAGAATTATAATTCTTCCCCCGACCCCCTTATTTTGACCTCTCAGGCATTGAGGGAAAAAACTACTATTGTAGTAACTTTTTACAGTTTTAACTTAAAATTTTAAAGTTATTTACTATGTTAACGTGCTTTATTTAAATTATTAACTCAGTGCCTAAACATTTCAGCCTGTAGCGTTTTATCCCGGTACTATGTTGCGTCCTGCCTTTTATTTTGAGTTTCAAACATTCACGAATTCTTGGCATAGTAATTTAGTTAGGTTGTGGACTTCAACCGAATTCTGAGTTTACGGACAAAAAAGTATACGTGGAAACAGTTAATCTGTGCTCCCTATTCAGCAGTTTACGTTTGTTAAAAATTAGGTTTTCAATCCTATTTTCTGTCCTCTTTACTTTTAAAAGAAAACTTAAATGTTTCTTAACTTTTTCATGGGACAAGAAGCAGTGCAAACTCAAAGCTGCTGTATTTTGGGGAGGAAGAAGCAACCCCCTCCCTCCTCTGGCTCCTTTAGGAGCTGATAGGTCATTTATTATTGGAACTGAAATGGTATAAACAATTCTCTCTCTTTTTTCCCTTGTTAACAGCAACTTTCATTGTTAGACAGAGGAGAGAGAGAGAAGCCTTGTTGGTTGACGTCACTTGGTTCATGAAGCCTTCGCCTAGAAGTGAAGCTGCTGAACAAACCTTGAGAAGAATCATCTCCTGCTTCAATCTGCTGCTGGATAGGAACTAATCAGAGAGGCGGAAGACGGAGGAGGAGGGAGGCACGGGCTTTCCCGATCACAAATCTCACCTCCACTCCAACTCTCTTTACACTTTTTTTTTGCAAAAATATTAGTAAGGAGGTAGTGGGTTTTCCAAAAACAAAAATCGTAACCTTCAGCCATCTGGGGAAGGCAAAAACCCCATTCACCGCAACTCTCAGTTGGAAAGTAAAGGTGAGTTAAAAATCCTCGGGTGTGAGGGGTGCGGGTAAAGATAAAAATTCCAAAATGTTACAAAGCCGGCTGAAACAGAAAAGGAGAAACTACGCTCCTGCGAGCGGGGAACACTCCGGAGTTGCTGATCTCGAGGCGCCCGCCCGGCCGCCCTGCTCGCCCGGCCGCGGCTGTTTACCCTCGCCGGCCGGTGCGTCCCTTTGTTGTGCGGGCTGGAAGGCGGGTGGTGCTCGGGGTCCCGAGTGGAGTCTCGGGGAGGAGGGCCGGTCCCGGGTGGGAGGGGGCTGCGGGCTCGGGAGAACGGAAACTTTATTCCCGGCTGCTGGTGCGGGACTTCGGTCCAGCAGGGCCCGGCCGTGCCGCCCCGGCGCGGGCAGGCGCCGCGGCCGCCCGGCCGCCTTTGTGCCGGCCGCCCGCCCGGCCGCCGGGCTCCGCGTCTCCCCCCTCCCTCGGGCTCCCGGCGCTCCGATCGCCGCCAACTGTTTTGCTTCTTAAAAAACAACCTCTGGCACTGCTGCGATCGCCGTTCCTACCCGGGGCTTGCGCGGCTCCCCCACTCCCCGCCGGGGCAGTTTCACGATGCCCCCCC